ATTATATATAATTATATTATATTATGAGTTTGAATTTTAAATTGAGAAGATTGTAAATTTTAAATTTTATTAAGAGTATTATGAAATTTTTATTAATTATATTATGTTAATTTTTATATAATTTAAAAATTAAAATTAATTTTAACTGTAAATTTTTAAAATACTTTTTAAAAAATATTTTTAAGAAGATTTATCAAATACTAAAATTACAAACAAAGCCGACAGCTAATTTTAAAAGAAAAAAATAATACTAAATTAAGCCACAAATTGCCCTACATAATATTTAGTACAGATAATATGCCTTAATCAACTCCTTTATTCTCTATTCTATGTCTTCTAAAACACACCAACGCCACAAATGGAGAGACACAAAGCTACCAAAAGATGTTTGAAAAGAACTTTCTCTAATCTTTCTCAAAACCTTTAGAGATTCCCAAAAAAAAAAAAGCACAACCCAAAAGAGAAGCACTAGTTTTAATCCTCTAGAAACCTCCAAAAGATAGAATCTAGTCAATAGAACGGCAAAGAGGGCAGGTGGTGTGTTTGTTGTGAAACCACTTGTCTAAACAATTTTTGTGAAAGAAATGCTTACAAGACAACTCACTAACCTCTTCATCAGCTTCAAATCCACAAAAACAAACACAACACTCACTAGTACTAGTATTAGTGCTGCTACTACTACTAGTACTCCCACTAATACCACTAATACTAGAACTTGTGCTATTTTTGGCATCACAAGACCTGTTTTGGCACAGAGACTTGAACTGGGTAATTGAGATTCTCCTCTCCCTTGAAACTGCCTCTGCCGAAGAAGAAGAAGAAGAAGAAGAAGAAGAAGAAAGGTCATCTGGGTCTTCCTCTACGTTTGAAGAATTGACATAATTGGCACCACACATCACTTGAATCACAGATCTCACCATGTTCTTCAGCAGAGTCACTGACAAGACGCTGTTCATTACTAGAACTGGTAGGACTCCTTCAGCTGCTGTTGGGAAGTTTGATAGACCCATTTTCTGAGAAGAACAAAATAACTAGGTAACAAAGTCCAAGACTTTGTAGTAATTATGATGCCACAGGAAAAGGAACGAATTAAAGAGGATTTGCTTGGGGATAGGTGATAAATAGTGTATACACAACAACACATGATGAATGGGCTTTGCTTGTTCTTAACCATCATTATTTAACCCTGGTTGGTGGGATTTAACCATGGTGGGGTCAGTCCCAACACGTGGCGACTCGTGTAGCCTTGTTTTAAGATTGGGGTGATTGGTTAATGCGATGGAACTGAATTATAACTGGTCTTTTTGAGAATGGACCGAAAAGAGCATTCTTGATGAGGCCACGCGTCCGCGGGAGTTTGTGAGAGCCGACGAGATGGTGCGTTGTGGCACAGGAAGTGGCCTTTCAGTAGGGGAGGGTCAAGGATGGAAGTTTCTTGATTCTGTTGTTATATGGCCAATGGTTTTATGATTTTTTTTTTTTTTTTTGGCTGTCTTGAAAGACCAAAACACTCGTTTGCTTTCACTCCCTGCTTTTGGATTTTTGGGACCTCATAAAGGCTCTTCATCAAAATCCTCCGATATATGAAGACTTTTACGGGGGTAGATCTTGAAAAGGTAACCATCAGTAGATTTTTGTTTTCGGACAGTTGAAAATCTGTTTAAAAATTACTTGTTTCCGTGTGATTTTGGTTAAATTTAACAATAAAACATATACATTATGAAAAGAACCTCCGGAAATAAACTTTATTGTATGAATCTTGAATGGTTTCAACTCAAGTAACTTATTTCTCTTTATAAGAAATTAAGTGAGCTTCCGCATGTCTCATAAAATGGAGAAGAGTAAAAATTAATTAGATGACCAGTGAAAGATTATTTTAGGTCATTTCTACATATTTATTGATCTTTCAGATTATTTTTATAGTTGAAAGAGTTAAGTGATATATTGTGTATTACCAGATTTTTTTAGAGTAAAAACAAAAAAAAAAACTTACTTCCTAAGAGAGAGAGAGAAGTCCATGTTTGTTTCTTATGCGCGTCCAATAAATAGGTACTCGTTTTGGCACAAAATGGGTGGTTCCTCGAAATCCCTCGTTTTAAGTTTTCATTTCATGTGGAAAAAGATGTAGGCAATTTCGTCCAGACAGCAAACCAATGATATCAAGAATTTTCTCGAAACAATAACAATAATAAGGAATAAGAGATAAATAACATAATTAGTAAAATGATTAATAAATTATAATATATTTTTTTATAAATAATAAATTATAGTATAATTTGATATTTGATATTTTAAATATTATTAAAAACTTAAAAATACTTTTAAATTTCTTTTTACACCTTATTTCTCCCTTATAAATATCTATTTTTTAAAAAATAGTAAACTATAGTATTTTTTTTTTTTTTTAAAATAAGTAGATTATATTCAAGTCTACTATGGTCGGAATCGACGGCCGGTGATCGGCAACCGGCTCCGACAATTTGCGACTATTTTTCAATGATCGGTGACCATTTTTTAGTGATTATTTTTCGACGACCGTTTAACACTATATTTACTGATAAATACCGTGTTTACTAACAAATACCATATTTACCTGAAAAGCTAGCCACCGACTTCAATGACCCGCTAACGCTATATTTATAGGTAAATACTATATGTACCAATAAATACTGTATTTACTAGTAAATATCATATTTATTCAAAAATCTGGCCACCAACTTCGGTGACCGTTTAACAGTGTATTTATCAGTAAATACCGTATTTATTAGTAAATATCATATTTATCTGAAAATTCAGGCACCGACTCCAACGACCGTTTAACACTGTATTTACTAATAAATATCGTATTTACCAGTAAATCCGTAATTACTAGTAAATATCATATTTATCTGAAAATGTGGCCACCAACTTCGACCACCGTTTAACATTGTATTTACCAATAAATACCGTATTTATGAGTAAATATCATATTTATCTGAAAATTCAGGCACCGACTCCATCGACCGGTTAACAATGTATTTACTAGTAAATACCGTAATTACTAGTAAATATCATATTTATTAAAAAATCCAACCACCAACTCCAGCGACCGTTTAATATTTTATTTACTGGTAAATATCGTATTTACTAGTAAATACATATTTATCCGAAAATTTGTCACTCACTCTGGCGATCGTGTAACAGTGTTTTTACAGGTAAATACCGTATTTACTAGTACATATCATATTTATGTGAAAATTTGTCACTCATTATGACGACCTTTTAACATTGTATTTACCAGTAAATACTATATTTATCAGTAAATATCATATTTACTTAATAATTCAACCAACGACGACCGAAGACCAACAACCAACAAATATGATATTTACCCTTATCTACTCAAAAATATAGAAATATGAAAATTAGCAGCACCAGAAACCAAATCACAACATATAATCAACCAAAATCTTGAATTATCACAAACTCAGAACAAATCAAATCTAAAAATAAAAAATCATAACAAATCAGAACTAAGAATCACCAAATACCACAATGACACTTATTTTCTGAAAACATTCCATAAATACATTATCAAACCAAGAATGTCTCTTGGTTCCCGTCGTTGCCATGCCAGCCCATAGAAATAACCTGCACAAAGCACATAAATTGACAATCCCAGAGAAAAAAAATGAGACAAAAAACAGAAATCATTGGCTGAGATCTACTCCATTGAATCGATACCGGCCGGACTGGTTTGCGACACATCTAGCGGCATGAGATCCCTCGCTGGGAGGTCACAACGTCCTATTAACGGAATCTTGTTCACGAGCACTAAGAATGAGGTGATAACCACCTCCGTTGCTGGAGTCCATCGTTCGTGAGAATGTCGTCTCTGTTAGATTAGCGTTGCAACGCTGGTGGGAGAGAACCGAGAGACGGAGATGAGAGTAGCAAGGAAATCGTGATGTCACTTTGCGATCTCTGATTTTTCTCCACAAATCGGCGAAGACAACAACGAGAGAATCGAGAGAATTGAGAAATTATGATCTCCGATCTTTGGAGACAGCGGCGGTGAGTAATCCTCAAAGAGAAAGAGAGATAGAGAGAGATGTCTGGAGGTGAAATCATGAAGGTGGGAGAGAGAGGTCGTGGAGGAAGAGAGAGAGAAGCATTTGACGGAAAACTTAAAAGGATGAGTATATTTGAAAACCATAAATTAAAAAATAAAAATATGCTATAATTTATCAAGTTTAAAAAAATATGCTTTTACTTCAAAATTATATTCAGAAAATGCTATTTAGTACAATTTAAGATGCCAAAGGCGAGAATTGTAGGAGCCACTCCCATAAAAGAGGAGCCTGTTTAAGTAATCCTTATCAATTGTCGGTAGAAGACAAAACATGGAACCACCCAAGAGTAAAACCCGTGCCCCAACGATGGAAGCTCAAAGATAAATTGAATAATACAGTATGTTCCATAGGATTTTCATGAGTTTAAATTCATAGGTTTTGCATGAGATTAAATTCATAATTTTAATTTTAATATTTTTTTCTTTAAAAAAATTTTAAATTTAAAAAGTCATAATCAAAATTATTAGTTTAAATCTATGAACTAAATGAACTCTAATTTTGGTGAAAAATAAAAAAAAAGTACAAAAATTGAAGAATTTATCCTTAAAAGTGCATAAATATTAGGGGTGGCAATTCGTGTCATATGTATTTTTTATTTTTTTACGGGTTTCGTGTCGTGTTCGGGTTAGGCGGGTCCAACCCGAAATTGACCCGTGTTTTTCGTGTCAATTTCAGGTCGACCCAATTCTGACCTGAACCTCTTTTTTCTCAACCCTAACCCGCAAAATTCGTGTCGTTTTCGAGTCGTGTCGTCGTGTCGTGACCCATATTGCCGGTCCTAATAAATATAAACCTTTACCTTTTACTTTTAATAAATACATTTTTATTAGTGTAATTATTTAACTAAAAAGGTTACGAATCAAGATTAAAAAATAAAAATCTAGACCCGTGTATTTTTAAGAGATATTTATCAAAATAACCAAAATCAGTGAACGTCGAAGGGAAGTTGGTTTTTAATTATATCTGCTAGCCAGTGGCAAAAATGGTAGCGGTCATTGTGATGAGAATGAATGTTGCATTCAGTCCAGGCACTTTCTGAAGTGTTTTTTTTTTTTTTAAAGTTAAAGGTCTAAAATTATTATATAAAATAAATAAATAATGAATTCTACAAAATTTATGTAAAAAAAAGCGCTAAAAAGATTATGGTGGTGATGATTGTGTACAGTACCACTCCTGTTATTTCTGTTGTCGTTCCCTAATGAGCTGTAGAATTTGAAGGGTCTATCCCCTGTTGCTGGAAGTATGCTTTTTCTGCATTTGCAAAACGAGTTTGGAACATCGTCCACTCTTTTCTGCACCTTTCTCTCACCTGGTACAAAGTAATATCGCCATTCATTATCAACTCGTGTCCAAAACAATTACTAAAATAACTATCAAAACGAACTATTGATAATCTATTCCAAAAAGAAAAAGAAACTAATAAAATAATTATAGTAAAAAGAGGTTCTACGTACTCCTTGCCATGGGGCCTTTCCATTGTGTGATTCACCCTAATACAGTAAGGAAACCTAGTTAGTATTTTGGTCTCATTTATTATAACATAATTAATACACCAAAACATATCAAGGAAAACATTAGTTGGTGTCCTATATTTTTACCTGTTTCCCAAGCGAGGGGACAGTTTGGTGAACAATCCACTGAGAGTCTACAACTCCTATTTTCTCATGGGCAGGCTGCTTGAAGAAGATAATAAATAAATGATAAGAAAACTCCCATTGTAATCACAAGAAAAACGTAATCGTTAAAAAGAGACGTATGACAAAAAAGCCAAAGAGGGTGTAGATAGGTGACTCACCTCTACACACTTTCTAAGGGCAAAGTCAAGACCCCATCCATGGACCAAGTCATTCTGCAATTTCATGTAGTAATAGGATTATGATCACAGAGCGAGAAAAGTATTCCAGCACCAATCAGAAAGTCAAGTAATTGAACAACGTTGAGATCTATCAGTTCTACCTGAATCATATGCCACACACAGCGCCATGCATCTCGGGAAAACACCGGAGCCATGATCTCAACGAACCTGCATTAGCAAAGAAAGCGCAAACAAAACCAATTGAATTCCATCACTAGTCTAAAAAAACACCACATAAATGTGTTCTTTTTGTTTTTAATGTACTTACGCTGCACAGGGAGGCAGATGTGGATCGGTACACCAGCCAGGTCTCTCCTTCGTTTCCCTGAAACAAATTGAAGGCAAGCATTACTAAATTAACATATTAAGCCCATGTGAACAGGTCAGCAGGATGGCTCCATCGTTCTTACTTGTGTACTTCACGGTCACCTCTTCTCTTGGTCATCTGCCATGTTAACCCTTTGTTAGGCTCTAAACCCGGCTGCGAAATCTCCAAACCATGCTTTCTAACTAGTTTTATGTACCTGGAATAGGATAAAGAAGGTATGCATGACAGAAGCCTTTAACATTTGAAATATAAATCAATGAAACGTACTAATTTGTAACCAACACTCACTCTTCTGCATTGAAATGCTCGACTCCAAGGTCTTCATCCCAAATAAATATGTAATCATAAGGAGCAACAATGTCAGGATGCAAAAATCGCTTAGCATACCACCTGGATGAAATTTCAGAACATTAAATCTATAAGGATACTTCAAATAGAAGAAACTGGGCATTAAGTCTATGCCATTCAAAATGGTGATAGGAGTTGGCAATTGTTCCTTACCATTTGGTCTGCTTGCGAACACTCACATGAATAGCTCGCTTTGACCACTCAAACTCATCCCATTCAGTTGTTCGGTCATCATAGTGAAATAAAAGGATGGTGAAGTTCTCTGAAAACTGTTGAAGAAGCATAGTTAGTTTCATTATCACAATTAAAGCACACCTTTGTGTGTGTGTGTGTGAGAGAGAGAGAGAGGAAGTAAACCTTTTTCACGCATGCGTCAATGTTATTTCTCTGATCATAACCAACAGTGAAGGTGACGAGGTACTTTGGCGTACTTGTTAAATCCTGCAAATGGCAACTCGGTCAAATGCTCATGGTTTGTGTAGAAAGATAGTTCCTTAGAAAAGAAAACCAAACATTAATCTGACTTCATAAACAGAATCTATTGAGCATAGTTTGTGCAGCAGATATGCAACAGAATCAAAGTCGTAACCACATCACTTATATAAGTGATAATAGACTACATACCTCACTAGGCTTACCCCACAATCGTCTTGGATAGAAATCTGACATAGCTTCAACAATTCCCGGCGGTAATCTTTCTGCACCTTTAGGATTTGATGTGGCCCAAATCTGGAGGACAAACAAATAATAGTAGGATATTTGAGCCACAATTTCGATAAAAAGGGGGGAAAAAAAGTATCAGGAGAATTCAATTCAGAGAATGGCGCCATTTTCAGAATAAACAAAATCTATTGTCATAAAATTTTACATTAGCAGTTAGCAAACACGTATAGCCTAACACTGATGTAGCTATCCCCTTGACCAAGAGAATGACTAAACTTTCTAAGTTAGAAAATAAGGGAGCTAACACTTGTACATTAACATCAGAGTAAAAGTTGAAGGATTTGCTATATGAGGAGATATAGCACATTAAATATATTCTTATGGCTTTGGACACACAAAATTTCCAAGGGAGAAAGTACTCAAACCTCTGAATTTCAAGAGCCAGCGTTACCCATTTATTTTTGTTCTGCACCTTGATTTTCATTATTACCATATCCAGCTGGTGACGAACTAGATAAAATATTTTGAAGAGAACGATGATACAAACAGTGACAGAGGCCAAAGTGTAACTTTCTTTAATTGATATTAGTGAAAATCAGATTCTATAAATTTTCTTTCATCCTATTTCACCTATTTAGTCCCACTATCACAAAGTCAACTAAATCTGATTCCAAAGGCATTTCAAAAGCAGCCCGAAACTCGGTAAGTTCCTTTATAGCGTAAAGTCAAAATCCAGCTGAAACTAGAGTTATTAAACATTCTCATGATAATATGTAAAGTAGAGAGCGAGGATGGTATACCTTTGATGTATCATTCAAATGTTGATCTTGATTTGAGCTGCTAGGATTACTACTTTTAGAAGACCAAGCATCTATTGGCGTGGAGAAGCTTGATTTCTTGTCCTCTATGTATGTGAGATCAGTGGGAGGGAGAAGAAGGCTAGATGTAATATTCAGCTGAAAAATTATGCTAAAATGTTTTAATATCTAAGTAAACACTTTTAAGGTAGTTAGCAATAGGAAGGGGAGGATAAAAAACCTTTAAAATGGAAGCTCATCATTTATTTACCTTCGTTAATGACAACGTTGGGAATGAGACACCTATGAAGAATCCCAAAACTACTCCAAGAAAAGTTGTTACAATAAGCCTCATACTCTCGTTTGGTTTTCTACTTACTGGACTGCAGCCAAGAAGATGAAAAGGTTAAGTTGGTATGCTATTTCATCAGACCTTCCTACATTTTTCAAAATAGACAATATTTTACAGAAATAGGCCATCGGAAGATTTAAACCCGCGTGAAAGGATTCCCATGATATTTACAAACTCCTGAGTGTATGTTCACCAAATTATCGCCCTTAGTGCAGAAAAATATAACTCATCTGCACTACTCGACAGGTTTGAAGTTGCGAATTCTCTTTAAATGAGATTGTGAGCCTCAGGGACGTAACAAAGCACCTGGTGTGACACATACAAACAGGAATATAAGTTCAAGTACAACTACTTCACGAATCAAAGTGAAGATTTTGTGAGATAACACAACCCAATTAAAGCTGCAAGTGAAGTCCCGTCCATAATAAATTGGTTAGCACTTTCAATAAGCAAATATATTCAGTGAAAAAGTAAACTCGCAACTCGTAACCAAAGCAGCTATCCTTACAATATTCTATTAGGAAAGTGATTGCAAAAACTCTCTCTCTCTCTCTCTCTCTTTCAGTAACAAGCAAAGGCTAGCAAGAAGTTGACCCTTAAAAGGAGACAATTGCAGATTATACACTCAAAACCCAGAAAGTAGCCATATTCTTCGGTCTTCACAAAAATCATGAGCAAAGTAATTTTAATCCTTCTTCCACATTGTCCTCTACAAGTTACTCCTCCGAAAAAGCAACCATGTGCTAGCTTTGACAATCAAGAGCTATCAAAAATTTCAAACCTCCCAGTTGAAATCCTTAACCAAGTACCTCCTTAGCTAAGTAAGCACGTGCCCATATTGAATTAATACATAAATCTCTCCGAATTGTCGTTGATGAAGACCAACTTGCTGAACGAACAATAAGGCCAGACAAACAGCTGGGCTTGCATAATCTTAAAGAGAAAAACGAGCAAAGAACATGATTCCAAGCACTAAGCTAGCTCAAACAAATTAAAAATTAATATATTCAACGCTTATTTCTACAAAAATTCAATAAAAAGTAAAGATGGACAGAGAAATTAAAACTTAATAACCACGGAAAGATCTAATAAACGAGGAAAAAAAAAAGAAACAAAAGGACAAAGCTGATCAAATTGAAAAAACCAAAAACCACAAACCTCCATGCTAACTTTGTTTAAACTCTAAGACAAAACGTCATGAAGGTCTCCAAAAATTTTCCAAGAAAACCTTATTCATCTTTCTTTATTATTTTTTCTGAGAATAAATAAAGAAACAAAATTGAACGAACCTGAAACAATTGAGAAAAGGGGAAAAGAATTCCCGAATAGCCGGAGCAAGATCTGGTGCAATCAACGCCGTTTGTGAAGCTCCGAATCACGAGAAAAATCACACTTTCCCTGATAAATGGAAAATCCGAGCTCCAAACCAATTGAAGAACTTCGTGATCGCTTTTTTCTCGTTTCTTCCGATTCGCGCGTGAAAAATCCCGGAAAAAAAAAATCGACAAAAGTGGAAACGAGGAATTTCACCACGGCAAAAGAAAAACGATTCCCAGATTCGCGTCTGTATTATTTGATTCGTTTGGGGAAATTTTGGAGCAATAAAGGAAAGATCTTTTCTCTGTGTGATGATGATATACTACAGATTTGAGAGCTTTGGTGGAGGGAAATATATAAATGGGTGTTTCCGCAAAATTTGCAAAACAAAAAAAAAAAAATAATTGCTACTAAATGTAAATGGGAATAATTTGGAGTTCTATATAATCTATGTATTTATTTGAATTGAATAGTGAATACCATATAGTCGGCTATGTTGATTGAGGTGGACTTTGGGATCTTCACATAGAATAGACTCCTTTATGTAGTTTTACTTTGATCTCTTCCTTAGGGATTTGGATTTCACATGTAGACACTATTCAATTCAAATATATAAATGGGTGCTTCGTACATTTTTAATTTAATGTAATTTTGACTTTTTAGTGATTAAAAACTAACTCTAATAATAAGAGAACCCCATTAAAAAAATAAATAAAAACTCCTTTTCCTTTTTAAACTTTTAGAATGGTTTTCTAATGGCACATTGACATTGCTTTCGTTTATAAACTAATATTTTTCTTTATTCAAAAAGGAATTTTTGTGCATTATTGTTTTATTTAAAGTAGGGAGATTTCAATTTTTTATTCTTTTTCATTTTAAATTTAATACTTTAATATATGTAGATAACTATACATTGTTCAATTATTTCATTTTATTGTAACCAATGCGAGACTAACTCTTATTTAATATTGTATACTTATTTATGTATGGTTGATAGCGTGTACAATAATTCGAGAATAATTATAATTCTGTGTATTTTTTTTAGATTTTTTCAAGTTTTAATCCTTTTCTTTATAAATTCAATAAGGATGTAATGTGCCTTTAATTCTTTATTAAAATGCCTTTAAAATTATTGTTACATGCATTGCACACGTCATTTTCTGTTAGTAATTTAACATAAAGAGAAATTTTGCGAGAGTTTTAAAATTCAAAGGAATGGATGTCATAAATTAAAATTCGAGAGCATTTTGTGATATGGTCTATAATTCGAGAGAGAAACATGTAATTTGTCTTATTTCCGACTAGCGTTATGCTAGTGCAATTAATATAACTTATTTTTATTGTATTGCATTCTCGGTTTAAGTCTTTAATTTCTTTTAGTATTACTTATATTCAATTTTGACGATTTTCATAATATGATAGACAATGACTCGTATTAAAAATAAAATGCAAACAGTTTACCCTTTTGTTTCCTTTTAAAAAAATAAATAAATAAATGTAAACATCCTTCTCATAGGCAGATAATCATAATGTTTGGGAAAACAGTTTAAGACACCAAAAGAAAACACGCAATTTTGTTTCACAGTCATTTTTCATCCATAACCCAAGATTCCACGTTATTTGCCTTCAAGATTTGAGGTAGCAAATATGTAACGTTTTCCAAATTCGAAAGAAACCAATTCCTAATTACTTAAGAATAATAGATTATTATTATTATTTTTTTTTCCTTTTCCTTAACAAAAGATGAAAGAGCAAAGGGCAACACAAAATAATCAGGGTTGAAGCGTTTGATTTTAAAGATCTACTCTTTCACTCAAATGAGACCTTAAAACCTTTGAATTACAAAACCGGACGGAATAAAATTAATCGATGAGAAAATGTGCACTATCTTCTTAAAGCAACATTATCACTAAACTTGTCTTTTTACCCACAACTATTCAAACACAGTACAACAATTCACTAACATGTTCGATGCAACAATAATGACAAGAGAAGAGAGATAGAAAGCTATGCACTTCAAGTTACAGGGGCAAAATTGCAATAAAAAAGGAATTTATGAAAAGCAATGACGGTATCTGAGGAATAAGTATCGACTAACTGTGTGTCAACAGCCGCGGCTAATCTTAATAGTCGTCATTTTAGTGCAGACACGTTTCTCCCTTTACTTGTTTCTGATTTTGTTATCTTGGCTCTTGGATGGTCTTCAAGAGCTTAAACTGTTAGAAATCAAAGATTTGGTGAAAATCACCACTTAAAAGTCAAGAACATTCATGTTAGATCATCAAAAATTAATAAATCTGTAAGTGGAAGCGTACCTGAATCCATATTGCTTGATATCTCTCTAGAGTCGTGCAGTTTATCTTCCAGATTAACACGTTTTCCTAGAGAACCCTTTAATTTTCTCTCTGTACTATTTCTGATGATGGGATGTTAGAATGAATGAAATGATACGTGTGATCTGGAGACCATAACTGATATATATTGATAACTTTACTGTTATCTTTTGGTATTTCTATTTTAGCCCATCATAAAAATAAAAATTACCCTTAAGTCTCTACACATTAAAGACCCACACCCTATTAGATACATTAAAGTCCAAAATACATAAACCTTAATAGATCACTTTTAATTAGACTTAACCTTATATAACAGCCCATAACATATAATTATTCACATATAAGCTTAACGTTGGATTAAGGATCCAACATAAACTACCATAAATGGCAGACAAATAAAAAATAAAGTTTCTGTCAATTCAGTTACCCTTATCAAGGAAGATAAGAAGGGGAAAAAAAAAAAATTCGAAACATAAGAGATGAATATATTCCTATTTCCTACCCACCTGATAGGCCAGAATAAAAAAGTATGACGGTTTTATTACCAATAAAGAACATTTATTAGCTTCTTTAAATTACACTAGGGATTTTTTTTTTTTTTTTCTCGATGGATGCCAACACATTTTTAAGTCCACGAAATTAAGGCATCAGGACCAAGTTGGCATATTTCTTTTTTAAAAATGGTGAAAAATATAGTCCGTCTGCAAAATTAACTTATATATAATACATAGTTTGAGTATATCCACAGCAAAAACCGCGGCGTACGTTCTGATCGCATGGAATTCTAACCAAAATATAAATCAAACGGATCTTACGATAGTACGAATCTCTGTAATCATGTACCTTCTTTGCTACTCGTCTGGTCATAATGTACACTAAAAGCGTACACTTTTTTGTACGAGTATTTATTTGTTGCACATTATAAACTTCCTTTCAAATTTTTCGATTTTAGCTTTTCACACACCCTTTCAAATGTCATTACACGGTAATCACATATAAACAAATTCAATCGGACGGTAAGGAATAAAGAAAGAAACGTAGGGAAGAATCAGCGACCATTGAATAAGGGTGGAGACTTTGACCACAAATGGCACACATTCCTGGCTACATAATAACTTAGATGCCAATTAACCACGCGTAGATTGCTGAACCAATATGTCATATACGTGCCCGAAGGCCAAAACTGGTCAACAATATATATTTCTCTTCTTATTTTCTCTCTCTTGGCTCAAGGGTCAACAATATATGTGTTGTTGAACGATACAATTCATGTGTTTGTGAACCTAATTTTCCTATTTGGGTCGTTTTCCGGTAAGGTTTTTCTATTGATAAAGTCAGTTTTTGAATGTTAAATTTAATTAAAATTATATTAAATTAAAAAAGTATATGGAATAAATAATTCGTAATACAGATATAGCCTTAGAAGTTAGTAAATTTACCCAACCCATCGCTTAAACTCCCAAGAAAGGAAGACAACCCCAGTAAATCGTGCATAATTTCAGAGAGAAGATTTTATAAAAGTCGGCGGTTTATTTGTGTTAAGAATGGACACTTCTTGGTGTTTGCCGGAATTCCGACTAGGGATACATTTACCAGAGAATTCCCTTGTTATTTTTACTTTAACGTGTTTTGGCAAAATGATGAAATAGATGTTAGGAGCCACTCTCAAGAATTCTACCTTACTTGTAAAGCTAACATTCATAAAGGACAAGGAAAGAAAAAACAGTAATCCCCGTTCATTTCATCGATTTGAGTTTAGAATTTGAGTTTTATTATAGTAAAAAGCTTTCAGAAACAATCACATATACTTTTTTTGTTACAGTAAAAAGCTCTTAGAAACAGTCACATCTCAACTCGAATTGAAAATTTGAATCAACAAACTAAACGGGTTCGAGCAATTGGCCATGGAATTTTCTTATCAACATCTCAAGAATATGGTAGGAATCTCGAGTCTAATCTAAATAAGAATTTAAAGTAGGTTGTTAGGCATGGTTGACCTTAGAGCTGCAGACTTATAGAAAACTCTAGGATCAATTAATTGGAATTAAATAAGTAGAAAAGTAGGACTTAAGAAAATAGAAAAGTAGGTCTGCGAATGACGAAGAAACGTGGTGGCAGGTGGGGATTGGTGTTCCACGCTTGGCCAACAATTTCTTTGAGAAATGGTTAGGAGCTCAATTTAAATTGGTCTATTCTTTTTTTTTTTCTCCAAATAAAATTGGTCTAATATATTTAAGACCTTTGAGGGCTGGTTTGAGCCGTTGATCTAAGATGTGGTCCCTGTGGAAAAGGTAAAATAAAATTCTAACTTAATCACAACTTGGAATTACCCTTTCGTAACCATGATTTGTGAAGTTTTGGAAAAAAAAAAAAAAAAAAAAAAGAAGTTAAAGATAATTTACTCCCCTATGGTTTTTTTTTTTTTTTTTTTTTTTTTTTTTTTTTTTTTTTTTTTTTTTTTTTTTTTTTTTTTTTTTTTTTTTTTTTTTTTTTTTTTTTTTTTTTTTTTTTTTTTTTTTTTTTTTTTTTTGTAATTGTTTGTTGCCGCTTTATGTGCGGATCAGAATATCATTTAGCAGTCTTGGGTTTTTTTAAGGACAAATGTTATTGATTTTCACTTCAAGTCATATGAATTGCTGAGCTCTGACGTGTTTACGGGGAAGAAAAATATCATTCCCTCAGTTTTCATAAATCAGTATTCTATAAGGAATTCTAAACTGTACATACAAAAGTATGAAAACATAAACTATACAACTATAAACCACATTACATACATGGTGCATATTCAAGGGCAAGAAAGCCAAAAGACAAAAAGTCAAAAGTTGCATGCACCACCCTTTTCCTCCCTCAAAATCTAAACTGAAAGCAGGTAGTCCTTGCTCTTTGTTTTATGGCGGAGGAAAACAAGCATTCAAAGGAATGGCATAAAATGAATTGTTATTGTAGAAACTTTCAGGTTCCAACCTCGCTATACGTCCTGGGCAGAACCATCAAAATCAGGTAATGCTGCAAAGCAAGGAAGCCAGAGTTCTACACGAGTGCCGCCTGCACCAAGTGCAGCATCTTTAGTCCAGGGCGAGTTTACACGGACTACACAACCATAACTCTCAAGTATCTCACGTGCAACAGTCAGTCCAGCGACAAAATTCCACGTCATGTTGTCCTCCACCATATCTTGAGAGCAGAGGTCTGCTCCGAATGGAGTGAGAGAATGCATCTGTGTCTAAACACCAAAAGCGACAATGAAACATGTTATTTTGGAAGATAAATTGAAATCCAGAGAAGCAGAGTATGTTATTGTTACCATGTAGTGCATATCGGGCCCATCATCATCAATTACTACAAGTGCACCACCTGCTGGTGCTCTCATACATGCAATTTCGACCTTTCCTCCAACATGTGTTCGCAACAATGCACCCTCAATTAAATTGCTGAGGGCTTGGCGCAGAGCAGGTTCTTCTATGGCAACTTGCAAAGCTTGTCCTACTTCATTTAGTTCACTTAGTTTTATTAGGCGTTGCTGCTTATGAGCAAGAGGCCTCACAGCCTCTACCAAATCCGCCAGCACATCAGAAACATTACACGGTCTTCCTGACGCAATTGACAAAGGTAAGAAAAAGTAACAGACCACAAACAGCAGTGAGGGGACACAAGCAGTTCGAGTTCACAATAGGACCTCACTGGTAAGGTTGAGGCCTACCTTATCTCATGTTGCCTTAGAGGAGCAAGCGCAATAGGTGGCATAGGCATCTCTAAATCCCTAGATGAAGAATTTAGAGAAAGCGGATCACCTCGACTTTGGATCTTAGTGCTGGAACCATCAAGTGAAAAGTCATTTGACAAGTGGGGCCATACTTGTTCAGGATTCCCAAAAGTGGAATTCGGCATTTTCTTCAATGCCTCTTCATTATGCCGTACTATGTTAGCCTAATATCACAAGAAAGTGACAAACTCTTAAGCTTAAGCTGATTTCTGCTCAACCACGCTTTAGTCTGACAGCATGATTTAAGTATAACAAATGGAAAGTTTCGATGAAAGAAAAAAAATAATAAACACAACCTTTTGGGAAAGATAAAAATCACCTTTGTCAAGTAAACAGCATCTTGAAGTTGTTCGAGAGTATCTCTTATATGATCACCTTGTACCAATATGTCCTCAACAATGTCGTAAGAAACCTACAATGATATATTTTCCGTTATAAAAACAACAATAAAGGAAAAGCAAACAAAATTTAGAAAGATAAATCAATGTTACAAAAGTCCACAAACCTCACTTACCTCACCTCTTTTCGTGTGCACGGATAACATTTTGCCCAAAGTCCGAATGCTAGAAAGAGAACCACGAATCTGGGAGAATATAAGATAAATGGAAAGTTAAAAGTTTTCCATTTAAACTTAAGTCCTGAGGGCAGAAAAGACAGTATGATCTCTTACTTGCTCAACTAGATTACTCATCCTGACATTGTTTTGCCACGACGATTGCTGTAATAACAATGCTTTCTGCCCAAGAAGAAAATAAATTCATTACAAGTGCAAACAGAGGCCAGCTTCCAATATGAAAGAAAAAAACCATTCTCCGGCCTAGCTAAGAGAGTTGAGTGTGTGGAGCCTAATTATCATCCTCATGTAGAGTTAGCATGTAAATCAACCGTCCAGTAAGGTTGACATGGATTGGTCTTGTCACTCGTGTATTTTAGGTTTCCTTAATTATACTTATGTTGGGGGTGCCAGTTTTGGGGATTAGAATACCGAGAGTCTGAGAGGCCTAAAGTGTGTGCTTCTCTTGTAATCTTCTTCTTCTTCGTCATGGTAGAATTTGCAGTGGTCGAAAGTAAACTACTATAAATCTTGCGTGTGCTTTCTTGTATTTCCTTTTTTTATTGCTCTAGTTAGTAGAATTAGGCTTCTAGTGCTATGCTGAGAAGTTTATAAGGTAAGAGCGTTCGAGCAAACACAAAATCACACAGAAAATTTCGTACTGTCGTGTCAGTTCACTGTTGCTTCTAACAAGAAGCATGGTTCGAGTGTTCAACAAAAAGTTTCTAGAATAGAAAATATTGGCAAACGTACCTGATCCATCACATAAGCCATTGCAAGAGACTGAGAGATGTTGATGGCATTTGATCTCTGCTCAGCAGTAAACTTGTACATTCTCGGCAACTCGTCTTCCAAAGTGTGAACATCCCATGATTTGACATCAGAGTCCAAGGGAAAAACATGAGCTTTCTGAGGAGACTCACACCCTTGGCTCTGCACATTCCCTGGAGTTGGCATTTCCATGCCGCAAAATTCAGCAACCAAGAACCCCACCACAAATGGGTATTTCACCATGGGAAAAACCGCGGCCCTATACTCCGGTATAAATTCCACCTAGCGAATTAAGTCAATATTCACTCAAGTAATCAACCATACTTTTACACAATCTTAGCCAAACAAACCCATCAAAGAAAATTTAAATAAAAAAAAAAAAAAAAAAAAAAAAAAAAACCATACTTGTTGATTCGAAAGCACAGCTTCCGCGGCGCGTAGACCGGTGGGAATGCTAAAACTACCAACTAATATCACAACATCGCTCGCATTCACTCCAGGATAGGCAGTAACTCTTCGCAGCTCCAAACGATCCATCACATAACTACCAGCCGGTCTTACATAAACCTACCAAAAACACACTTTTTCATCAATCATTCCATTCAATTTCCTACAAGCTTATCTCTCCAACAAATTAGCTTAATTGCAAAAGCAAATGGAAAAAAAAAATAAAAAAAGAGGGTTGAGATATTACAGAGAGAAGGGCGTTAGGGTTGACGATTCGGAGAAAAAGGTCCAATTGCTGGACGCAGAGGCTCTGAAAATCGGGGCCGGGGAGGACCAAGGCGGACTTTGGGTCCTTCTCGATCCTCTGGACGAAGTCGACGGGGGAGGTGGACGCGGCGCGGATGGCGGCGGCCACGGCGGAGGCGGAGGAGACGAGAGCGGCCTCGGGGTCGTCATCGGCGGCGGCGACGTGGCGGAGAGAGTTAGGGTTTTGGAGGGAGCTGGAGTTGGCGGCGAAGAGAGGGCGTCGGAGTTTGGAAGAGGTGTGGAGCTTGTGAGAGAAGATCGGAGGAGAGTCGGGATTGGGGAGGAGATGGTTTAGGGTTGTGTTTGCAGAGAGAAGCATTAGGGAATTGGGAAGGAAGACGATGAAGAAGAAGATGTGGAGAAGATTGGACCGTTGGTGTTGGTTGAGAGTTGAGTGAGCGAGTCAGTTGAGTTTGAGTGGATCGAAACAAATGGCCAAGAACGAGGACTATTGGGGCCCAACGGAAACCAAAGCTTGAGGCGCCATCTCAATGTTTCCATACGACGTCGTTGAAGGGTGAGAAGGAAGGAGTTTTTTTTTTTTTTTTTGGGCAATTACTCACGTACTCCCCATCTTTTAAAGCCTACCGGTAGGTCACCTCTTAAGCAACCGTTCGATTGAACTCTAGTTGAGGACAATACGACCAGTTTATTTCACCGATTTAAGTTTTATTACAGTAAAATGCTCTAAAAAATAATCACATCTAACTTTTTTGCTACAGTAAAAAAGTTTTCATATAAAGTCAAATTTCAACTTGAATTAAAAACTTGAATCAACGAACTAAACAGGCCCTACATGTGTTGTTAAAGTAAGACTCCATTCATTTTATTGATTTAAGTTTAAAATTTGAATTTTGTTATAGTAACAACTCTTAGAAATAATCTCATCTAATTTTTTTATTAAATAAAAAATTCTCACATAAAGTCACACTTCAATTCGAATTAAAAATTTAAATCATCGAATTAAACTGGCCTTAAAATACCCACTGATTTTTGTCCCTCATCAGTCCGTGGAGCGGTTTTTTCTAGTGGAAAAAAAGATAAAAACGAGGGTCTTTCTCTTGAACTTGGAGGGTTGTACAAGGATTCATAGCTTCTTCTTCATCTGCATTCTCGCTAGTGCGTGATCAGAAGAGATAATAGTCAACTAAAGATTAACTCTTCGAGAACACTCACAGTAATCTCTCACAGATTAATCAAGGATTACCGTTGAATAAAAAGATTAAGGAGACAGAAATTTATAGTGGTTCGGCAAGAATTCTTTGCTTAATCCACTTGTGGATGCACTAATATTTTGTCGATTACAATCCTTATGGAGTAGTAGTATAGTGCGTAAAAAACTTAATGAATTCTCATGGCTTTATTTATAGGCCATTACATATGAGAGACCTTCTCTACATTCCCCGAGGAAATCATCTTCTATCCCTAAATTCTAGAATTTGGTTGTTGCGTTTTCATGATTTCAGCTTTCAGGTCAGGCTAACCACTCTTACTAGTTACCTGATTTTCTAACATGAACCTTGACAGTTGGTATAGTGTATCTTTTCTCGAGTTGACAGGATTTGATTTGGATTGGACCGGGCTGCTCTCTCGACGTCGTGACCCTCACAACTCAGGCGGAGTCCTCGATGCGTATCCTTCTGCACGAATCCTCGCCGTCTTGAGGGCATCCTAGATACGACATTTTCCTTGATGTCAGCGACCGACTCTCAACTGGGATATCTCAACGCTTGTCAATCAAATGAACGATCGATTCCTCGACCATGGTGTAACACTTCTCATCGGTATGAGAATTTCTTGCTCCACACTTAATCGATATGTTTCTTCTTTCTCTTTGTTTTCATGTTCTCTCCATAACTCGTTCTTCATGGGTCCAGAAAAAAACTTGACCACCGTATGGTATTCAAGATATGTTTTACTTACTCTGTGGCCTATATGTATATTTCAACAATATGGGTTTTGTAAGCTTTAAAGCTCCACAGCTTTGCCAATGAAGATAAGAAGCAAAGAGCCCTTCCAATGAGGGGGAAAAACAAAAGGTCCTTACTCCTTTTTGAATCTTTAATTCGAAGTTCCAACAAGCAAAATAAACCAAATCAGAAAGGTATTTAGATTCCTCTACCTCTGTTTTTAAGAGCCTAAATTCATTTGTTTGTTCGGTTTTTTTTTTTTTTTTTTTTTCTTGTTGATTGGGTGAGAGAATATCCATAACCTTCAAGAAGGTATAGGAAGTTCTCATGGCTTCTCTAACCAAATCAAATTTGAAGTTTCGACATCTTCAAACGACCAGACCTTCAGTGATGAACTTCCGTGCTTCTTCAACAGTAGACGCGGGGTGGAACTTTAAGCAAGAAGAGTTGGCTCTCGGTCTTTGGCGTTTTCCGATACTTGACGGTGTCTCTTAGAAGATTGCCCAAGAAAAATCATCGTCACCCCATCAGCTTCCTCACCTTGCTCACAGCTTCCGATTTCCGGCATTCATCTCTCGGCTTGGCCTTCCTTCAAAACTTGTCATTTGGAAGATCTTTTTTTTTCTTTTTTCTTTTTTTTTTTTTTTTTTTTTTTTGATCCCATACAAAGTATCTGCATACGAACCTCAACTAAAGACCCCAACAACAAGGATGGTGATGAAACTATCCACAGGAGCTATAATAGTTTAGATTGAAATAAAAAAATTTACTTAACAAATTTTCACTTATGTTACATTTTTATGTACTTCTTCTCCGGAGCGAAACACGGAAAAATGGAGAACGAAAGTCCTTGCACAGTTTTGTTTTTTTGTTTTTTGTTTTTTAAAGCGAAGTATAAAAAAGAAGGAAAACAACAAATTGGTGGGGCGCGCTTTATTAATTGCCACATAAGATCGTGAATCGCTTGGATTTATTCGCATTTGATAAGCAGATTCCTACTCTAATTTAAATTATAATTTATTATAATATTTTTTTTTATAAAAAATATCATAAATTAAAAATAATTTTAATCTCATAATTTATTTTATTAATTTGAGTTTAAAATTTAAATTTTATTAAAATAAAAAGTTCTTAAAAATAATTATATTTAATTTTTATGCTACAATAAAAAATTCTCATATAAAGTCATATCTCAACTCAAATTAAAAACTCGAATCAACGAACTAAACAAGTAATTAGAATGTGTGTTTTAAATCCGTGTCTGATTTTAATTTTAAATTATAATTTTAAATTTTTTATAGTATCTTTTTTATAAAAAAATTAAAATTTTAAAAATTAAAATTATATATTATAATTTTAAATCTACCAACTAAACATCTCATATTTTTGTGTGGTGTGACGCTGTGCATATTCATATTACTGTCCAATAAGAGCCGAGTGAAAAACGTTTTTTATGTGACGGGTAGTTTAAGAGGATGGGGTGTACCAGAGAAGTACCTTTTTTTTTTTTGGACAATGCTAGAAGTAAAAATTAAAAATTTTCTCTCTCCCTCTTTTTTTAAGAATATAAGCATATTTTATTGAATAACAATAACAGCTCAATGTCACATCAACGAATTATCAACTAAAGTAAAAGAATTTAAATTGAAGCACTCAACATTAAAAATAGGTGCACTTACAATTAAATTAAATTTGTAAGAGTCAGGAGGGGTTGTGTATTGACAATGCCGTCTCAAGATGCAGATAGATAAGGACCTGTTTGATTTATTGATATAAACCCATTATTTTAATTTTGTTTTATCATAACAAATTTGAATAAAAAATTTCTGCCAATAAATTCTCTTGCCAAATTTGGATTCAAAATCAAAGTTATTATTTTGAACACATGAACCATAGACTTGATGCTTTGATAATGTCACGACATAGAGATTGGGGCAATGAGCTTTGTATTCTCCGGAGACTCCTTTTCTTGTTGGGTATGAGGCTCCTTTAAAGGTAGTCTCTAGCTTTGTTTAAGTATTGTGGTTTTTTTTTTTTTCGGTGCTACTTTGTTTTCTTTGGTGCTGTGGTTTCCTTTCTTTCTATTTTTTGGTCTTGCATCATTAGGTCGGAGGAGTCTACTTTTTTTTTTTTTTTTTATGGAGAATAATTTATTCTTGAATTAAAAAGAAGTAAAATGGTTTCAAAGAAAAAAGAATTAAAATGGTGACTTTAAAACAAAAGAATAACTTCAAAAAAAAAAAAAAAAGATAAAGCACTTAAATGTTTTTTATTTGATCTCCCCCATTTCTTCAAGGGGAAAAAAAAAATTTGTGTTAAGCCCTTCGCAAGGAGGAAAAAGAAAAAGAAAAAGTATTTATCCTTAAAAAAAACAGACATTTAAATTATGAATGATAATTCATATCACGTGTCGTGTCGTGTTTTGATCGTTTCTTCTTAAATTCATAGTTAATCCGAATAGAACCCGTGACCCGAATTTTTTTTAAAAAACCGCAACACAAACGCGACATAACTACTTTATGCGTTGACATGACACGACACAAAAATAACCCATAACATGAAATTAATCCGTGAACTTAAAATTGACACGAAAATTATATATTTTTCTTTAGCTTTTTACATATTAGAAATTAATTAAAATTCATAACACATTAAAATACAATAACATCCATCAAAATTAAGCAAATAATAGTATAAGATTTTGAATATCACTATTATGATATCACAAATTCATAATAAAATTTAAAATATATAATGAAATATATATATGTTAATTTTTTACGAGTTTCATATCGTGTTCAGGAGTCTAATCTGAAATTGATCCGTATTTTTTATGTCAATTTCAAGTCAACTATGAACCTCTTTTTTCTAAATCATATCTCGTGAAATACATGTTATTTTCAAATCGTATTATCATATCGTGACACATATTACCGGTCTTAAATTTCAAACTATTTGACCGGTAATCCTAACGTCTTTTGAGCCTGTCCCATTCTTTAAATTACAGTTTATAGCCGTTGGAGTCTCCCTCTTTCCTTCTCTCTTGCTACAGAGCAGAGCAATTTCAATGGCGACCGGCCAAGATCCCAACTTTTCTCCGTCTACCAATTCCAATCCAACCGATTCCTCTTCTCTGAAGCGGAAAAGACCCCCAAGCCTCGAAATACCGACCGTCCTCCGAGAAGTTCGCACCCACACGCCTCCAAACGACGTCTTCTCTTTTGCCGGACTCGGAGTCGCCGTTTTCTCCCGCAAAGGCAAGAAAAAGTCCATGGAAGACACGCACAGGATCTTTTCTTGCTTCCGAGGCAACTCCGACAAAGTAATTCTTTCAGCTCTCTCATTTTTCATTTTTTTCCGTGATGTTTAGACGTTTTTTTTTTCTGGATTATGTAGAGATTTTTCGGCGTCTATGATGGACATGGGGGTAAGAAGGCGGCGGAGTTTGTCGCCGAGAATTTGCATAACAATGTTCTTGAAATGATGGAGAATTGTAAAGAGAAAGATGAGGCTGTTAAAGCTGGGTATCTGAAAACAGATCAGGACTTCTTGAAGCAGGTGATCTACAGTTCTTGTTAGTTATATTCCAAAAAGTGTCTTTTGAGTCATAAAGTGAATAACGTTTGACCAAACTAGGTTGAAACTTTTGTTGCATAATCTTCTGGGATGGAAAGAAAAATACCCTGTCTTGATTGATATGGTTACAATCAGGCTTCTGTGCATTTGCAATTCGGTTTTAGGGCTAAGTCATGAATATGTTGGTTGGCAATGGCGATCTCGTTTCTATTCAGGACAAGCATTTTCTTGTTTTAAATTCTCTGGATTGTAAAAGGGTGATTTTGTCACAGTTTGGTAATGTGCAAAATGTAGGGTTTAAGCAGCGGTGCGTGCTGCGTCACGGCTGTGATAGAAGGAGAGGAGGTTGTCGTTTCAAACTTGGGAGATTGCAGGGCTGTTCTGTTTAGAGGTGGGGTGGCTGAACCTCTCACAAAAGATCACCGAGTGGAACAAGAAGATGAACGAAAAAGAATAGAAAATAAGGTACTCAATGGTAGATAATAGTGCAGCTAATTGTGTTAATTTAAAAGGTAGAAATGGTCTTATTTTTTGTGGCTTGATGTAGGGAGGATATGTGGAAATCCACCGAGGAGCGTGGCGAGTTCACGGCCTACTAACTGTTTCTAGAAGCATCGGAGACGCTCACCTGAAGAATTGGGTGCTTGCTGAGCCTGAAACAAAGATCCTGCAACTCACTCCAGATATGGAGTTCCTAGTTTTAGCCTCTGATGGACTATGGGAAAAGGTGAGAATTGGAAAAATGTGGCTTTCCTTTTGATAATCTGCTCCTATTATTCTTTTGCGCATCAATCTTATGTGCCATTCTTGGTTTATGTTGGAGCATCTTTACATGCCTCGCACTAATAAAGTCTTGAGTTATGCCGTCTTAGCTTATATGTCAATCTGGTTTGGGATAATTTTCTTGCTGCTCTTCAAGCAATATTTTAACATGGCATTTGAAGGATTTTGAAGGTATTATTAGGCTATTCACAGATCTAAAAAATCTGTCTTGTGATTGATTGATTGCTTCCTAGGTTGGCAACCAAGAAGCCGTTGATACAGTGAAACGGTTATGTTCAGCTGAGAAAAAAATGGGATCCTCAGGATGTTGTCCGAAGGATAATGATAGTGACTATGTTGGTTGTGCTAATGTGAGCCCTTCATCAAAGTTACGTAGGATCTCTCTGTTTAATAAGAAGCAGGCAAAAGGGTTGATGAGTCGGTTTTCAAGCCACAAGAAGGACACTACTAGCTGGATAGACAGTGAAAATGACTTCCTCAGCAAAAAAGAAAGCCCTCCATCGAAGTCACAAAGAATATCGATGCTAAAGCAAGTGAACACGAAGATGGAATCGCCCACTAAGGAGAACAGCGACTATGATAGCAAGAAGAACACTTGTAGCTGGGGAGACAGTGAAAATGACATTGTCGCTGAAAACGAAGGCCCTCCATCGAAGTCGCGAAGAATATCACTGGTAAAGCGAGTGAGCATGAAGACGGAATCTCCCACTAAGGAGAACAATGGATATAATAACAAGAAGAGGCCCGAATCTGATGGACTCGTGGCTGCTTGTAAGGAGCTTGTGAACCTTGCTGTGAGTAGGGGTGGTCTTGATGACATTACTGTAATGATAATTAATCTTAACCATTTCAAACTCAACAGGTGCTCCGTTGAATTAGCCAAGACCTCTTAATGACAGCGTTTGATCTTTCAGAAAGTTATACACGAAAGCTATGCAGTATCCAAGTCTCAAAAGCAAAAAGCTACATAAGGTCCAAGTCTTGGATTTGCATAAAGCCAAGTAAAAAGACACTAGATTCTTTACACGACTTGTTTTTTTCTTCTCTTTTTTCTTTTCTTTCCCTTTACACTCTTCTTTACACAGTGTGCTCCATAAGTCTGGACCACCACTTATGCCCAATTTTTTCATATGTGCTAATTGTTTCTTACTGAAATAAAAGCCGTGTTATTTTATTGCTTAGTGGTGCCATATGTAGAAATCAAACAATCAGGAGTTCGAATCCTAGGTTATACAAGATACGACTTAAAAATGGAGGTGCGGATAAACTAACCGTTCTTTTCTATTTTGATTACTACTTGATGATTGGCCTCAAAAAAGGAGAGAAAAAATCCATCGAAGAAAAAGGAGCAAAACAAACAGTCAAAACACAATCAAACAAGAAAATGTCAACAAAAACCACAACTGTCAATTGTTGGAGTGTTACAAGAGACTAAATGAGCAATGAGATTAGATCAAAATGCCCCCAATAAAGGCATTGAGACAGCTAATCCATCAACCGGACAATATCCTTCCATGTAGATATGTAACCAACAACTATTCCGATTAGAGATCTTTAGCATGTAGCTCCAAATATAACAGTCAACAAAGTAGTTCTTTAAATAATGTTGCTTTTAAGGCAATAAAAATTAGATTTTGAGATTTTACCTTTCTATAGATATAGCACAATAGTGATATGTAAGTTGCATAATTTCAATGACACACCAAAAGCAGAGTATACCCTTAAAAAATACTAATCACCACTTAATTTTCTTTAATCTCCATATAATCCTTGCTAATTGTACCCACTAAATTATCTTTGTATTATCCCTTGTGGACCCCCCTTTATTTTTCTTTGGGACGTGGGTGTACGCCATCGTCACATGAACTTAAACTCTCATGAAAAAGAGGTGATTTGTTCCCTTTTTACAATGCATGAAAATAAAAAAATAAAAAGGACGGTTTTATTGGGATAAAACCTTCATTGAATCCAAACCACTTTGAAGTAAGGAAAAAGTTGGTTCGTTTAAAAACAAAAAACAGAGAGGCAAAAACTGATTGAGAGAAGCTTACATAGATAAAGAAAGGGCTTTTTCTTTTTTTGCATGAAAATAAATAATAAGAATGAACTTCCTCTTCTCCCTCACTCTCCCATCTCTCCTCCCAAAAACATCCACTTTGGAAATTGTGCAATACCATCTTGATCACCACATACTACACCAAAACAAACCTTTGGCCTCATCATCTTTAAGGCTGGATCATCCAAAAAAAAAGGTGAGAGATCTCAATCTCATCATGATCATCTTAAATTCTTAATCATCTCATAACTCTTATCTTTATGTTCAACACTTCTGTTTGTTCTAGTACTTAGTTTGGCCAAAATCTTTCCATCCCTTTAAAGAACTGATCCCTTCCCATTAGACTTCATCATTCACCATGCACGATTCAATAGTAATCCCGGCTTGTTTTTCGTCCGGCGAGAGGCCACAGGTCGATGATCAAGCGGCGGTAGTAAGGTCGGGCCAAAGCCTGTTCATGTCGGTGTACCGGACAAAGATAGCCGGCCGGTGTCGTCTTATCACAATCACTTGGTGCAAGAATTTGCTTCTCCGAGGCCTATCTGTGTCCATTCAAGGGCAAGAGGAAGATCATCAGTACAAGCTTGAGCTGAAGCCTTGGTACTTCTGGAGAAAACAAGGCGACAAGCAATTTGTACTTGATGGTACGACTGTTAATGTTGTCTGGGACTTGAAAGCCGCCAAGTTCAACGGAGAAACCGAGCCGCAATCCGATTACTACGTTGCCATCGTGTGCGAAGAAGAAGTGGTCTTACTGGTTGGTGATCTGAAGAAAGATGCGTTTAGGAAAACTGGTTGTCGACCCTCGCTTTTAGACCCCATTTTGGTGTCGAGAAAGGAGCATTTGTTTGGGAAGAAGAAGTTTTCAACGAGAGTGAAGTTTCATGAGAGGGAAGATTTTCATGAGATTTTGATCGAGTGTAATAACAGTAACATAAACACTCCTACTTATGAAAACAATACTGGTTTTTCGGATCCGGAGTTGGAGGTGAAAATAGATGGGAAGCTAGCTCTTCATGTCAAGCATCTTCATTGGAAATTTAGAGGTAATGAGTCAGTTTATTTGACCAGAAGTAGTACTAAAGTTGAAGTGTTCTGGGATGTTCATGACTGGCTTTTTAGCTCTGGCACAAGGCATGGTATGTTCATATTTAGTCCTATATCATCGTCGCCGTCGCCGTCGGTGTTGCTCGGTGATCAGGAAGTGAATTCTGATAATCAGTGTGAAGATTCTGCTGGTGGGTCATCTAGATTTTCCTTGTTTGTGTATGCTTGGAAGGTAGAATGAAGGTGTAGTGTATGTTTCCTAAGTCTTTAGCAAGGGTCATTGTTGTCTAGACTACTAGTCACTTTTACGTATCATGGCAAGGATTTAAAGATGGGAATGATGGGTTTGTGCATTTTAGTGTATAAAATGTGTTGAGTGTAACAAAGGAGAACAAGATGGGATGAAGAAGGTGATAAGGATGAGAAAGCACATGGGCACCCAAAAAGGATTTTTGGGAGTATGCTTGCTTGAATTAGGTATTTATTTATATTATGGACATGATTGGACAAGCCAGATAGGATCGTGTATAGGTCAAATAATCCTTGTGTGCCTACCCATTACAATTCCGAGTTCATAATTGCTCTATCATCTCTGTAGATGTCTATTCCCTTTTTCTTTGATGGCTCTCCATATAAGTGTATGTTTGCATTTCAAGTTGTAATGTGCTGTAGTGTGTGTAAAAAAAAATAAAATAAAAAAATAAAAAAAAGTAGTTTATTTGGATATCTATGGTAATGATTATGATTCAAGTCATATTAGGTATATAGCTTGAATACAATCTCCTTTTGTTTACACTCAAAAAAAGTTTATAAGGATCCTCTCTTCCATTGTGGTTTCCTTAACTCTTTTTTTTATTTTTTATTTTTGCCATGGGAATCATTACACTATATCGTGGAAGAAGTTAATGCCATTTCACTTTTATCAATGACTTTAAAGAAATTAGAAAATATTAACTTAGTCTTGCAACTAGTGTGGGGAAGCAAAGATGGGAACTTGGAACTTGTGCTTAAACATATTATTCAACCCCGGGATCTTTGGGGTTCTTGGAGATTCTAATCACACATATGTTATCCTAATTGCATTCAACAGATACGATAGACCATCTTTGTTTCTAGAGATAAAAGAAGAAAACTGAAAATTCAATATTTTAGAGTCATGCTTATGCTTAAAGTTTAAGAATGCGGTAATGGACAAAAAAAAAATTAAATAAATAAATAAATTCCACTACTCTACTTGGCGTTTTGTGGATTGTTGTCATGTGTCAAATTGTGTAGTTGGAAAGAAGAGCACCAGAAGATAAAAAGAAAAGCATTAAAAGGATGAAGTGGCCTTCCTACAACACGCCTATAACATCCTTGTAAGGCTAAAGGTGGATTGTGAAAGGAAAAAGAAAATAAATACCTTTTAAATTATATGGATTTAATTTTATCTTTTTTTTATTAATACCCTTTTGAGTCAATAACTATGGCCCTGTTCATTTCGTCGATTCGAGTTTAAAATTCGAGTTTTGTTACAGTAAAAAGCTCTCAGAAATAGTCATATCTAACTTTTTTGCTACAGTAAAAAGCTCTCACACAAAATCACATCTCAACTCGAATTACAAACTCGAATCAGCGAAGTGAACAGGCCATATTATTCAAAAAAAAATATTAATTAAAAGTAAATCATAAAAACTGAGATTCATGCACTCTAAAAGTAAATTCAGTAATTTTCTCAACATTGTTTAAAATATTAGTTAAAAATGTATTAATTAAGAGTTTAATTTTAGGGAAATAGTAGAAAATAGGCCAATATGAAAAGTTTAAGAAAGTATATAGGTCAATTTTTAGTTATAGAAATTAATAGGCCATAACTTGTCAAGTTATGATTCATAACCAGATAAGTTATGGACAAACTTGTCAAGTTATGGTTCATAGCCAGACAAGTTATGGATAATTATACACAATAACTTGTCAAGTTATGGTTCATAACGAGACAAGTTATAGACGAAAACAGTAATTTGACATATTTATTAACTTATGTAAATTATTGGCCTATTAATTTTAATTCATCTCAAGTCTCGGCCTATTTTTCTCTTTTTCCCTTTAATTTTCTATGAGAACTTTCACTATTTGGGCTTGGTGGTGGACCATCCAATGAAAGAGCTTTCTTTCATTCATCTTTGACAAAAACTGAGCCCAGCAGTACTAAAATCCTACGATAACGTGTAAATGCTAGTTTTACTCGGTTCACTTTTTCCTTCTGGGGTCTCCTTTAGATTATGGAAGATTAAAAGGCAATGAGGAAACATTTCTAATGGCTGTTATTGGTTGGTTCCATGAAAGACCATTTTCAGTTGAATGGAATTGGTGGGTCTGAAAATGACCCATTAGGTTTTGTTTGGTGAGGGAGATGGAAAATAGGGGAGGGAAGAAAAAAGTACATAATTTAGGTGAGCAAAATGGAGAGTAAGATTAGCGAGAATGATACCTTTCTCTTATTGTATTCGATATGGATTAGGATCCCTTCATATTGAAATAGATTAAAATTAAGACCCCGTTCATTTTACTGATTTGAGTTTAAAATTTAAATTTTGTTACAGTAAAAAACTCTCATAAATAGTCACATCTAACTTTTTTACTATAGTAAAAAACTCACATAAAATCACATCTCAACTCGAATTAAAAACTCGAATCAACGAACTAAACGGTTCTTTAAAGAATTTGAAATCTCCCCGGATGGCGTTTTGAAATTCTGTTTGAAGTATACATCTTGGTCAACCAAGCATACCATCCGATTACATTATTGTTGTTGTTGTTGTTGTTTTATTTCGTAAATACATTCGTGGTAACCTTCAACTCCACCAGAGTAGTAGTAAAAAGTGCTCCCATCTTTTTAAGCATTGCTTCAGCAATGCGACGGTAGAAAAAGATAGAACTCTCTGAATAAATAATAGATGCATTTAACTCATCAAGTATATATGACGAAATTACATATGCATAATTATTTTGAAAATACAAGGCCTCAAGATACCATTAACTCGATGTAATGTATATGTATCACCTTTTCATATATCCGTTTTATTCTTTACCTCTTTCTAGCAAATCATTCTTGCTTGTTTTTCTTTCCTTTTCATTTGGAAACAGGCGCATAGGTCCTAGAATTGTACAGTGAACTTGACAATAGCAGAACAAGCCACATTTTAACCATATCACATTTGGGGTCTTGTTTGGACGACGTAGAGTTTTCCATCTCTAATCACGCCTTCAATGTCTTGTGGAGACCCATAAAGCTCTTCTATTGCACTTCCTGCACGAGCAATGCTTGAAAGGATGGAGTGGCGGAAGTCGTCATCAACGATCAATGGATCGGATGAGTAGTCGAGCACCACTTGCTCTTCCTCATCCATAGGAACACTATACAAAGGGTATATTCAACTTATTAGCATAAATTGTTTTGTACCCGGTGGTCGGGTAATATGTTCATTGTTAATGTCTGTATTTCCGTTAAGGATGGTTCATGGAGCTACCTGTCATAAAGACCTGCACCAGCATAACCTTCCAGATCTTCACCATTGGAATCAGATCGGAAG